GAGTTGTCCAGGGATCGAAATAAGTGGTAATCCGATGGCGCGAGATCAGAGCTATATGGTGGGTGTACCATCAATTCCAAACCAATATCCATCAATTTTTGCCGAGTGGACAAAGACGTGTGCGGCCTAGCATTGTCCTGCTGGAAAATGACACCTTTACGATTGACCAATTCTGCTCGCTTTTCCTTGACCGCTGCATTCAATTTGTCCAGTTGCTAACATTCACGGATAATAAAAAATAACATCATAATAATAATAATAATAAAAATTTTATAATATAACATTTACGGATATCATAAAAACGGGAGTGAGAGACATCTATAACTGAAATCGGCAATTACTTAGTTGCCAACCCAATATTACAGTGCAACAAGACATTTGTACGTCTAGCTGGTTTCGTTATTTATTTATTTTCTCGTTTCTGGCTAATGCCGACGTTGTCGTCCCGGCGCAAGAGGTTCGGAAGTTCGATCGAAGAGCAGGTTCCGCGTTTGCTTGCGGAGCATGTACACGTTGATTATCTCGGGTATCGATCGAAGTATAATATTCGTATGATTGTGCCGACAGACTCTTCCGAAAGCTCCGAGTGCGAGGAAATCGACGCCACCCAAGTAATCATTCACGACAGCACTCCCCAGACGCCGGTGATCCAGCGACGGCATCGGTATGTTTCGTATCGGTAATCGAACGCGAATCCGAAACCGGGTCGATGCGTGATCATAATGCAAACAATTTTCTGCAGGGACAACGAGAGGCCTCAACCCGACGGCTACATTCCGGTGAGTTTGTTTAATAAACTTTCGTACGATCGATTCCCGATGCAGCCGGCACAGCATACACGCCGCGTTTGTTCCATACGCGGACGACCGGCATTATGTTCTGCGCGCTCTTTCACAAACAACGCGAGGCTCCGTTCTCTTAGAAAAACGTGAGATTAACAATAATGCGTCACACTCGGAGCTTTAACATTTTATTCGAAAGCCCATATAGCAGAAGAGCAGATGAAAGCGGAACACGTGACAAAGCGCGTATTTTTTCCAGCTGCGCGACTCTCCGCGTTCATTATTTGCGTGCGATTCTTTTCATGATCAGTGGCTGAGGCAAAGGTGTGTGTAGGTGGCCCGTGGATATGACGACGCATACTCGAAAAAAAAGAGAGAACCGAACGCTGAACGAACAAAGACGCGAGGAGGGTAGACGACATTACGAGTGGTAGTGCGCGCGACATTATTGTTTCTCATAAGGGATGTGCCCAAGAGACCCTCCTTTGCTCCAGACTCCCTTTTCCTTTTTCCCGTTTTGCACGCAAAGTGCTACCAACGGAGGGGTCTTCTAGAGTCATTCCCCACTCCCCCGCCGCGTTTTTTTCGCTCGCCTTCGAACCAGCCGAATTTTTAATTACGTAAAAAGAATTTCGTTGGCGAACCCATCGAACCTAAAATTGTCGCTAAATAGTTTCAGACGTCGAAAATCCTAATCCTAACATCGTCGAGAAGTATCCAGCTGGCTTGCAATCTTCTATAGAAATTACGAACTACGTTTAATCGAGTCGATTCAATATTTAATCGTATACATTCATTATGAAACATGGCAATTTGAACTCTCGAATAATTAATGAACTTGTATCGAAGTCGAGCGTAGGCGAAGCGCGCCGATTAATTTCGGAATTATTTATAAACCAGACCCAACCCAAAACAAACCCCTCTGGTTCTTCCGCAACCAACAGCTCGAAGTCACTTATATTTTCGCGCAGCGGGTATAGAATTTTATCGCTGCGGTGGCACCCCTCCGCGCATAGTGCCTTCCATCACGTTTCTATAGGTCCAGCAGCTCCTTTTGTTAAGCTTGTCACCCTCGTGGGGTCTCGTAGCACCGGGACAACAATGAGCACCGGCGCACTTACGGTTACGCTCTACGTGCTGCGCCAGCTGATTATTTTTTCACCGCACGATTACCATCCCCGCAGTTCCATTCGGCTCCTCGGTCCCTGTGCGACGACGCCCTCGAAAACCTCTACCCTCGAAAACGACGCGCCGGCGAACCACCACCGGCGCCCGATGTTTCCGTTGCCCGGGCGAAGGCTTCCCTATCTTGCGGAAAATCGCAAAAAAAAGGAACCCCGAGGAAAACGACGGGAACGATATAAAGACGGGAGACAGTCCGAAGTGGACGGAGGTCGTTCCGCCCGGCCAAATGAAGTTTGTTTGACGACGATATTGTCGGTTTTTGGTCGGCCGCAAAACAACCCGCACCGTCAAGTGGTCGTCCGTGTTTGCACGGTTACTCCCGACGAGGTTGTAGACAATGCGACCGACCTGTTTTCTAATTCTTTCTCGGCCGCAGTGGCCGCTCGACGGTTTCTTGCGGAATTTAGTGTCCCTCTGCGACGTCTCTTTTTGCCCGTTCACATATTGGACAGCTCGCGCGGGCGGGAGAAACTTCGCCCGGAAAGAACATCCCCACAGTTTTTCCCTCTTTTTCGTTCTGTTGTCGACAGCGACTCGCAGTCGCGGGCATTGTCCCGAGACAAAACCGATGCGAACCCATTAAACTCGAGATAACTATCGCTATCCTTCACGAAAATGATGATTACGACAACTTACCGGCTTCGTCTTTAGTTCTTCTCCAGGACGTAAGTTCTTTTATTGCGCTGAGTAATTACGTTTTAAATATATATTTTTTAATAAACATTTACGCTGACTCAAATTTTGTATATCGAATTCTTACGATTTCTCAAGAATAAATTAGAGTGAAGTTATATTATTTATAAGTGGGATAATATTTATGAGCCGTAGGATCGCGGACTTGGTTCCATCGGAAACAGAAATGCAAGATGATTATAACGAATTCACCGCTCTCGGAAGCTGATGATCGATGCTAAATAGCACTCCGTCTCTTCTTCATCTCTTTTCTTTTAACGGAAGTTATGTTGCACAATTACAAGCACTCTCTGCATGCTGTCTCTTATACACATCTTAATCGGAAGTTATGTTGCACAATTACAAGCACTCTCTGCATGCTGTCTCTTATACACATCTTAATCGGAAGTTATGTTGCACAATTACAAGCACTCTCTGCATGCTGTCTCTTATACACATCTTAATCGGAAGTTATGTTGCACAATTACAAGCACTCTCTGCATGCTGTCTCTTATACACATCTTAATCGGAAGTTATGTTGCACAATTACAAGCACTCTCTGCATGCTGTCTCTTATACACATCTTAATCGGAAGTTATGTTGCACAATTACAAGCACTCTCTGCATGCTGTCTCTTATACACATCTTAATCGGAAGTTATGTTGCACAATTACAAGCACTCTCTGCATGCTGTCTCTTATACACATCTTAATCGGAAGTTATGTTGCACAATTACAAGCACTCTCTGCATGCTGTCTCTTATACACATCTTAATCGGAAGTTATGTTGCACAATTACAAGCACTCTCTGCATGCTGTCTCTTATACACATCTTAATCGGAAGTTATGTTGCACAATTACAAGCACTCTCTGCATGCTGTCTCTTATACACATCTTAATCGGAAGTTATGTTGCACAATTACAAGCACTCTCTGCATGCTGTCTCTTATACACATCTTAATCGGAAGTTATGTTGCACAATTACAAGCACTCTCTGCATGCTGTCTCTTATACACATCTTAATCGGAAGTTATGTTGCACAATTACAAGCACTCTCTGCATGCTGTCTCTTATACACATCTTAATCGGAAGTTATGTTGCACAATTACAAGCACTCTCTGCATGCTGTCTCTTATACACATCTTAATCGGAAGTTATGTTGCACAATTACAAGCACTCTCTGCATGCTGTCTCTTATACACATCTTAATCGGAAGTTATGTTGCACAATTACAAGCACTCTCTGCATGCTGTCTCTTATACACATCTTAATCGGAAGTTATGTTGCACAATTACAAGCACTCTCTGCATGCTGTCTCTTATACACATCTTAATCGGAAGTTATGTTGCACAATTACAAGCACTCTCTGCATGCTGTCTCTTATACACATCTTAATCGGAAGTTATGTTGCACAATTACAAGCACTCTCTGCATGCTGTCTCTTATACACATCTTAATCGGAAGTTATGTTGCACAATTACAAGCACTCTCTGCATGCTGTCTCTTATACACATCTTAATCGGAAGTTATGTTGCACAATTACAAGCACTCTCTGCATGCTGTCTCTTATACACATCTTAATCGGAAGTTATGTTGCACAATTACAAGCACTCTCTGCATGTCTAAAAATTCCAGTCGCATCGGCTACGTTTTTTTTCAGGAACACCAGCATTTCATAACAATTGAACGATCCAAGAATAAATTAGAGTGAAATTATATTATTTATAAGTAGGATAATATTTATAAGCCGTAAGATCGCGAATTTGGTTCCATCGGAAACAGAAATGCAAGATGATTATAACGAATTCACCGCTCTCGGAAGCTGATGATCGATGCTAAATAGCACTCCGTCTCTTCTTCATCTCTTTTCTTTAATCGGAAGTTATGTTGCACAATTACAAGCACTCTCTGCATGTTTAAAAATTCCAGTCGTATTGGCTATACGTTTTTTTTTCAGGAACACCAGCATTTCATAACAATTGAACAATCCTTGTTCCCATGCCATCAAAACGCATTGCATAATATTCACGTTTACACATTTATCTCCATCTATAATTATAGAGGGCATTCGTCGACAACCTGTAATACAAACATCTAAAAGCCTATTATTATAAAATCCACGATTAACACTCCCCGCCTACCGTGAATCGAAAGTACTCTTTCGAATGACCGTGCGCCCTCTTTAAAGTCCTCATTTGAATAATAACCTTAAATCAAGTGGTTAGATTCCATTGCCCCGGGCGATTCGTTAATTCGCAATTAAAATCGCTGTTGCTATTGGTAATTATCCCTGTTGAATTTTTACAGGCAACGTAAATAATCGTAACAGAGTTAACTTTTATTGAAAACAAAGAAAAAGAGAAACACACATAAAGCTAACTGATGTTACGGGTAATGGTTCGCTCGTCCGCAGGCAACTAACTAAAGAACAAAATTTTTGGCCGTAAGAGCCTAAAAAAAAAAAGGCAACGCAGACAGTAGACAGTCGTCGCACTCTCTCGCCAGATGCGACGCAGCTCATCATACAATAATTTATAATCATATAATATATGATTATTATTATTATATTATAATATAATATAATAATAATATATGATTATTATTATTATTATATTATAATATAATATATTATCATCATATAATAATAATACCATAATTTAAAATATTATGTCACGCGCAGGGACAACCTTCAACAATCCCGTAGATCCGTGAATCATAAAATACGAAAGAAACGCTAACTCATCGAATCCCGAATGTGACCGACGCGTGTTACTTCGTAAAGACGGCACCGAGTTTATCCAGTTTATCTAGACATTTCAACCAGACTTTCGACAATTACGTTCCACGAAAGGGTCTTTGTGAATGCAACAATTTCAAGTGAAAGAACGTGAAATCCACGTTGGCCAGCTCTCGGTAGGTTAATTGTCGAAAGCCGCCGGTAATTGTTAATGAGTGAAGGGAACGCGATAAGCCGAGCACGTGGTCTCCCGCCGGTCGTTATCGGGTGAAATCCAGGAGCACCACGGGCACGCGGTGCGAAGCAAAAAGGCTGTAAATATTTTTCTGTTCGTCCGATCTTACATCCGATGTTCCGGGGTGCTCTTTGTACTACACACGAGGCCGCGTAGGGAGGGGGTTGGC